AATGATTAATTGATTTGGTTTTCAAGAAGAAAGAATGTGGAGGGATTTCCGTAATGCTTCACGTCAAGTTACAAACAATCGATGTGAGAGGAAGGAAAACGTCCCACTTTGATATCCGCGTGTGTGTGTATATGTGTGTGACAACACTATCGTGCCATTCAAATATACGATTTAAGGCTTCGAAGACTTACTTTTCCGGCGATCACAGAACACTGACAAGGAGCTTTACGTGATATTTGATATGTTTGCGTACCTGCAATGACGCACGACATTTACGCCTTTCCTTCCGCGTTTCCATCTTTTTACATACTATGAGTAAATGGATTAAGAATTAACTCCAAGCGATCTTTTCCCAAAATTCAACTTTCCATTTTTGCCGTCATATCAATGCGAGAAATTTAGATGTGAGGAAGTTTGTGACGCTCAGATCTTTCCAAGCTGTATTGCCATGTAAATTACTTTGTCCACTGATGGTAAGGTGAGACAAATCAAATGACGGGAGTGTCATTGGCAGAAAGTAGGAAGAGTGAGAAGGCAATCCTCGCAGGGATTTAAACGTTTCCGTACTTTGGCCATCCCCGCCTTTCACTGAGCAGATTAAAGGAATGTGATAGAATAGATGAAAAGTTTGCTGAACCTTTTAAATCGCTTTTGAAGACTTCTCTGCTGGTGCAATCTTTTCCGTATTTGTTGATGTAAAATCGAATGAAGAGAAGGAAAAAGGATGAGTAGATTAGAATGCTTACACCATTGTAGTTTGTCTCACATTTCTTTTTGGCATTCAGAAATTGACGTATTTTGATGAGGCCAAACAAGCAGATGGGGAATTGTGCCATTTGGATCACGCTGATTACACGTGCGCTGCATGTGCGACGTTTCCAGACACAACTTTGAGCTGCCAGATAAAAGTAAAGCGCAGCATGAGCAGCAAGATTGGTGATGGCAATCCAACGAGCCATGGCGCCAATGTGCTGGTAACTGTAAATCATCAAGGTGGAGATGACGATATGATGGGCCACGTGAAGACGATTCGTTTTACGTCCATCCAAAATGATGAGTACTGTATCCAGTAGTTCCCAGACTTTGCTGATGTGAAATGTGAGTATTGCCTTGCCCGACCTTGGGTTCTTATAAAGTCCAGCATTCAGACACAAACTTGAGTAGAAGCCTTCATGGAAAGAAGTTAAGAAATCGGGTAATAAGCCAAGAAGAAGGATAATATCCGCCAAGGCATTGAAGGCGTTCCAATAAAAAATGATCATTGCTAAGACTCGGCTTCTTCTTCCTTTCCAAATTCGCGGCACATTCATTACAAACAGCGCATATGCAATAATAAAAAGCATGAAAAGAGGACGACACCGTTGCATCCATTCTATCGACAATTGCGCATCGTAATTCAGTCCGTTTCCGCTCATATTTTAATTAGTATGAAAGAGGTGGAAGGAACAAGCTGCGCCGGTTTCCGCGTACTTTCATGATTACAATGTCTTCCTGGCCGCATATCTTCCATGACAATGATTTTTATTAATTTCAATATATGCAAATCATGTTCCAATCAATCAATCAAGTGTAAAGGTAAAGTATGCTAGCAAAAACTTTTCTATAATGTTTTCTGGAATTTTAATGAGTCGTCTTGAGATATTTTAGAAATTCAATGGATCGTTTGGATATGATTAATTAAAGATTTAAAAGATCCTAGAATTGACTCATTAAAATTCCAGAAGACGATCATTCTATGTTCAGAACAATGACAAAGGATATTAGTTAGAGAAACTTATCATTACCAACTGCTCTTCTGTGTTTATTCCCTGGTGACGAGAGGACATTCAAGTGGATCTGCGACACCTTCGTGTATTGAGAAAACGTTCCACTCAGTGATATGGGAGGGAAACGGTCGCGAAGTTCTTGCGTGTTTTGTTATCTGTGGAAAATACAGTGGCTTTTTTGTGCATAAGTTATAGCCTTCTGTCTTGTTAGTTTATAATGAAATGCAATGAAACAAATTTTACACTGTTTGAAATGCACTCACTTTGAGTCGTAGAAACTTAGGAGAGTGAGCAGAAATAGGGAAGAAAAACGAAAGTATGCATGTTGAAGTTGCAAAAATGATAGAGCGATCAGTTCTTATGGGGTTCCTCTGATGAATCTTCTACGAGAAATGAAACAAAGAGTGGAAGATGGCACAATAAATCGAACTGAGTGTTGAATGGTCAGAAAATTAACTTTCTTCTTTGCTCTTCGGTCTCTCTTCCAATGCCATATTGAGCAGAGCCGTTTGAGCAATGAATTTCTGTCGCTGTAGACCTCGCCGCGGATTCGTGCGTCCATGGTTGGCAACATTTCCGCTTATTGGTGCTTTTATAACATATCTGTAATATGAATTATTTCTCATTACTCTTGCAATTAAGGTGTTCAAATTTTGTTGATTCATTATTTTCAAAGTTTATTTAATCACTTCCGGTGATTCAGAGTTATTGAAAAATAGAAATAACGAACACGATATCGCCAGCTTCAAGAACAATGTCAAACGACGGATTAATAATTACATAGGAGATTGTGCCCAACTTCTCATCATATTCTGCAAATTTGTAACATTTGAAAAGATTAAGTCATTTATTTGTTCTAGAAATCAGTATTTTTGGAAATTGGAATTTTTTTGAGATACAAAGTTGAATCCCAGAAGTACTTCTTTGAGATCATAGAACAGAGCAAATCCATTTGATTAGGAAGAAAATTTAACCATAATCTTCGATGGGTATGCCCAATTTCTGCATTCTACAATGCACCAAATCGGAGATATTCATTTTTTTGGTCCTTCTGCTCCCTTTCATACCATCTTTTGCAACTTTCAATTTCACCTGAGCAACAGCGGTAATTACTCAAACTCGTCGAAAAATAGCTGATGAATAAAAAGTTGGGATGGGAGATGACTTGAAGGAAAAAAAGAAATTGACTTCATCATCCATTATCATCGTTCGATATATTCCGATCGGTATGTCAGCAACGGATGCACAAAGCTTTTGATAGAGTCGACCATACGTTCCTATCCAGAGATCATCCGATGTTATCTTGAACTGAAAATGTCACTGAGAATATTAGAAATAAAACATTCCACTGAAGAAAATTTGAAAGGAAAGTACAAAAAGTACTCTGAGAAATAACGCCACTGAAATAAAACTTCAGTGAAAAGCTAACGCTGGTCAGATATCCCGAGCCTTCAGATTGGTCAATGCCAAGCAGTAATCGAATGAAATCCACTACGTAATTTTTGACTTGTGCTTGGTATAGTAGACGATCAAGCATATTTGCGGAGAAAACACCACCTTGCGCAAATGGCAGTCGAAACATGTATGGGATTGACGATCCATGCTTCCGTTCCTTCTAAAACAGCAATTAGCAATTTAAAATCAGAGTTGTCTCTCTGAACATTCTCCTGCTGTTCACAGTGCCGTTCACTGTTGACATTCTCCTGCCAAACAGAAATATCGTTGACAATCGGATCTATCAATACCGTGTTCTTATCAATTATATAATTAATAAAGAAAAATGAGAGGTAAAAAGCTGACTGCATCTAAAAACGAGACCATAGCTAGAAGTGCTATATTGGTTATGCGCTGATGTTTGGAAAACATGAGAGCTCAGATGAGAGCAAGTGGAATAATTTAATAAGCAATCGATATAAGAAGTGATATCGATTGCCTGATGAGAAATTAATTCAAAGAGATCTACGATTTAACTAAGTGTACACACTGAAGCAACATTCCAGGAAGCAAATAGCGAAATTTACCTTTTCACACTTGGACTGTTGAAGAGCGTACTGATCGTCAGCATCGAACTGCATGAAACGCATATTGCTGGCATGAGTAAGCTCCGTGATGATACGTAGTCTTGGAAACATCCTAAAACGAGTGTCCACACCAAACAAGAACACTTGTAATGTTAGCTGGCAGTTTCCAGATTGGTCAGTTAAGAAGCCAAAATTTCCCGCATTATTACTTCTTGCTGTCCTCGAAGACTTCTACACAGATGAAATCATCTCAACGAAAAAAGATGGTGTATTTTGACTGACCGGTGTATTTTCTGTACTGTTATAATTGTGGTGCAATCAGCCAAATGTTCCTCGACCGCTGTTGCACCTTCCTTTACAACAACTACACTGTCCGCTAGACAAACGCCTGCCTTCAAAAGATTATCCAAGCTGAAATGCCTTTAACTTTTAATCGCCATCTGTTCAGTGTCATGACACTCCTTTTTGTTTTTATAATGAAAGTTGAAGGTAGTGTACAATGATCTTGCGCTGCCTTTCGGAGGATCTAATATGCCCAGATAAGTAGCGTTGAAAAAAGCTGATGGATCAGTGCTAATTACTGTTAACAAAGTGTTGTCACTGATCACTCTTTTATGAGGCCTTGGGTGGCGATAATACCTACTTTGATATTTTGCCCTGCATCCAATAGACGAGAGGAAACCATGCGATCACATCTAAAAACGACGGATTCGGCCTGAAAAATGACCCAAATCTCTCAAACAGCAGTCTTAAAAGACTACTTTCCTCAAACAAATAACAATAACCATTGCACTGTCACCATTACGCACGCCATCGGTCTTCAATTTTTGAAGGCAATGTAAACAAGTGATGCAATTGCCTTTCAGTTTCCTGCAATTCAAGCAGAAATATGATAGGTTGAAGTTCGTGTGCAGGACGATAATAAGCGCGTAGAGGTATAATCAAATTGTACAGACCGAAACAGGTCCGATCAGCGGCTACAATTACTGCCGGATTACTCCAGTGATACTCTTTCGCCGTCCGGAAGAGACAGTGCTCACAAGCCTAAAGCAACAATATCTTTTCACATGTCCTATGAAATTGCCATCACGATTTTCTGTTCACATGAAACAATCTTTATTTCATGGGATGCTGACATGATGTTTACTTACAGAAGCAATTTCCAGACAACAATTCAGTCTTTTCTCTTTAAGTATGTGACACATGGTGAATCCACTGCCAATGTACGAGGCCAGCGGTGGATGCGTTATCTCTGTCCTGCAAATTCACTTTTCTTTCAGCCATTTACCGCATTGAAGGTAACGATCGGCTGTGGCCAACCTTAGGAAAAGAGATCTCGACTTTACTCAGTTCAAAAACTCATTCATAGTTGGCGCTTTTGTGACAGTCATTTAAACTGCAAAAAAGACATCAGCCCAAAAGAAGTTGTCCCACTCGGATTTGTTTAAAAAATTCTTCCTTCCCCCTTTCATTGCTATCTCTGCAATCTCGAAGGATTCGCACTACTGAGCAACTCCCAAAACATAATTTTTTGATTCACAAACTTTCCGACAATACACTCCTCTTGAGAAGCACAAACTGTGCAAAGCTGTGATTCCACGTCAGATTCGTCCGATTCAATGGTTGTTTCCAACACCTCGCCAATACTAAATTCTCGATCAAATGATTCATTTATGCTCCGCAACTGCTGAAATAAATATATTAGAAACGAAGAGATCAGAAATGAATGAAATCGGAATCACAGCTAACCAACACCTCATCGACATTATTTCTTTTAGCATGCGAAAGTCGTTTCCGTCTACTGCGCGTTTTTAACTCGTTCTCTTCTATTTCACGTAGATCAAGCGTGGTTCCTAAAGTCAGATATATTTTGTATCTTTCTGTAAAACATAAGCATGCCAAAAAGAATGAATAAGAACTCAAGGTGAAGAATAGCAGAACCTGGCTTCATTTTCTTTGAAAACCCTTTCTTCAATCGCTTTCTGTGTTTTGAGTCAAAAAGTCACGCAAAGATAAGAGGTCTGATCGCGACGAAAAAAGGTCAGAAAGTTCAACTGAACACGAAGAAGCAGCGCTATTCCTCTTAATTTAATTTAAAATGCCTATAAAACTTCTCACAAATTTTGGAAAGCTGCGTGTAGAAATGGAAGTTACCAAAAGTAGCAATTGACGTATAGGACTGTTGTCAATCAAATGTTGAACTAACCAGGCATGGTCTACAAATTAAGAAATTTACCAATATTTGTGATCGTTGCAGTCAAATTGGTCTTTTGTTCTTCATTAGTCAGCGCCATGTAATATGCAGTGTCTGTAGAGTTCAAGCAGTAATGCTGACCCGGATTGAGACGGATTCTCTCAAACGGTCCTTCTGATTTGATTGCGATCAGGCTAACTCCATATCTTCAAAAGTGCGGTCAGGCTTAACAGATACAGCTAGACACCTTCTACAGTATCTTTTAGAAGGTACGTCAAATTGTCATATAAAACCGAATGATAAGTCACACAAAATGTGAAAGGTGTAAGAATGTCGGAATGCAGAAGATACAAATTTTTTCTGGGTTTTTTTATTTGCAGCCTCTGAAACCGGCTATCTGATTTCTTGTTTTCAAGAAATTTCGGTTATAAACTAACGTTTGATAAGCATGAAAAGACGCGTAAATGAACGATTTCCCAATATATCCACTAAACAATTGACTGTTTGCAATCTTAATATCATAAATTTCATTGCCAGAATGAAATCCGTAAACTTTGTGCCAAGCTTCCGTCGATTTCTGACCTTCTCTGCAAGGCATTAATCAAGGTCGTGCCGGTTTTGAGCAGTTTGTATACTGCAATACTGCTGAAAAGCTTACTTTCCACCAGAAGTATGCATGAGAAGTGTGATGAATGTTGAAATCCCCGGACAGATGCAGTTGTTTGCCAGAAGAGAATATTTGAATTCATCTTCGCAAACCACAAATTCTGAAAGGAATAAGAGAACCGAATCTTAGCTTCTTATTGCTTTTAAGCTTCACAGTACTTTTAATCAAATTTTGGCACTCCTAATCCACAATGTAACCAACCAGCGTGTTCTATGTGCAACTTTGTTTCCGGACGGAAAATCTGTACATATTGCGGAACGTTTGGAGCAAAATCTTTTACTGCCCATGACCGTAAGACTGTGTGTTCATCCTAAAACTTGCTGATATTGAATACCGTCGAGCGTTTGAGATTGCAGTACTACCGTGTTTCGGGATAAAATCAATATCATTACCGCTTTCGTTTTGTGATAGATATGCCTTGCTGATAAGATAAAGCATGCCTTTGCATTAGCCATTTTTGCTCTTTCCAGGTCGTCATCCTTGAGAGCAGAACCTCGGATATACAATACCCTGGTAGACCACATTGGTATTTTGAGAAGCATTCGCATCCGGTCATCCATTTCACATGGTGAGAGTAAGATTACCAAATAATTCTATGGATTGATTAACTTATTAGAAGATTTACTTCAATCCTTGCAAATTTGAAAACACTCCTTCTATCTGAATTCTTCATATTTCCAAGTGCAAATTATTGTTTTCAGTTCTTTTCAATGCATGTCATAGTGTTTTTGTCCATTAGTTTAACTAAACATTGCCAGAGACGATGAAAAGTTTGAAAACAACTCGGCGTTGCATTTTCTTAATAAGTGTACCTGATGTTCAGGATAGGCATAGAATTCACTGAGGAAATCTCGGACAAATTGAGCCTCCAGGTGTGTCACCGTCACAACCACATGCTTCTCATTACTGGCCCAATTTTCGGTATATTCACCACCTGCTTTCTGCCGTTCCACGTATGTTTGGCCAAGTGCTTCGATCTTAAATTCTCTCACATATTTGTAGTTCAAAAAATCATCCTTATATTTTCCATTATCGTCTCTTACGCCTACGGTGGTTAATTTTCGATCGAAGACTGCATTTGTGGTTTCTTATGGTCGGTCATTCAACTAAGGATACCTGTTTGGGAAGTATAGCAAACGCAATGCATATAAGAACAACAACGAAAAGTTTGGACATCCATGTTTCCGGATAGTAATCACCGTAACCTGCAAATGATGGAAAAACAGATGACATGAGAAGGTCACAGGTGCAAGCGGTTCTGCTGACCAGCAGCACCACGACTTCGTGTCTCTGTCCGAATGCTGAAAGTCACCAAAATTCATGAATTACTTATGTGTGCAACTAACCGACAGTGGAGAAAGTGACCATAACGAAGTAAAATGAAGTGAAAAGATCAAACTGTCGTTCACCAGATCGCTGTAAATGTTCAATGCCACATGTGCCCATGAATACCAAACACAGTAAGGTGGAAAATAAAATAACCATTTGGCGAACCAAAGCTGACCGTCCTACTGAAGTTGAAATCCGATTTGAATCATGCTAAAAAATTGAATATTTGTGTTTTTGGTTTCCAGCTCGTTTACCAGACAAAGTTACGTCTCGGAAAGTCACGACTATACGATCACTGGAACCAGGACAGTTTATCGATATGCAAAATCTCGATACATAGTCATTTGGGCTTGAATAATGGCTGTAGGCACGTAATTGCAGATTTACGAAACTGCATTATGCTATGTAAGCAGTGGAAGTGAGGTCGCTGAAGAGGTAAAAATGTAGCTGAGTAATTCATAATTATCTCGTATTTGCCACCTCTGTGGCATATAATCCAAGGATCAGCTTCAATAAAGTTTAGTAGACGCACGTGAATGACTGACTTACCATAATTGCTTGTAGAGCATCTTTAGCGAGCCAGCAATTCAGAAATATTGGCACATAAAGTTTTCGCCCGAGTGGTACGAATATCTAAAAATATACTTTTTGGTGAGTTGGGAGAGTTGAATGTTTCATAGCAATCACTGGGCTTATTACTGATTTAAATAGTTATGAATCCAGAAGTGAAAAAAATGAGACAGCGATGCTTACCGTAGCAATTAATGGCATGCTCGTTATTAATTCGAGTAGAAAATGCAATTTCAAAACAACTCGAAATGTGCTACCCTGAAAGAAAAGCTATTCATTCATCAGGCAGAAGTGCTAACTTTACACTATGCCATAAAAGAGAAGCTTTTACTAGCAATAGCCTAGTAACTTACTTTGTAACTCAGGAAAAATATGATGATCGTTTGCAGTATGCTTAAAAATGCAACAATCACTTGACAGATCCAAATCGAAAATTTTCGATCAACCCATATTAGATATTGGCTGAAATGAAATTGTTCTGCAAGTTCGACATCTGATCTGTTTGCAATGCACATGCAAACCAAATGCAACACTAACTGGCATCTCTTTTGCAACAGAATTGCTAAAGAACGGGAAAAAAGGCTGAATAAAAATGATTATTTATTGCAGACACATTTTGTTCATTCTTTTTGGACCGAAATCGAAGTTGGGAAAGTGCAGAAGATGAAAGAGAAGTATAATTGATGTCATTGCATTATAAAGAAGAAGTATGCTTAAAAATGAGAACCGGTTGATATGAGTGGTATGTCGTCAAGAATGTTAATGTTTAACATTGGTCCCGATAGAAGTTTGTTGGATGCAAAGATATTGGAGCTAAGTTTTCGGAAATTATAGATAAAGTTAAAGTCAACTATTGCAGAATTTTGTTCAAGAGAATGAACTTGGCTCTGCAGTTTTTCTTTACACTGTCGCACATCCTCTCAGCTTCATCTTCAGAGAAATTCATAACACGAAATCTGAATGCGTCAACGCACTCAATAATGGAGGAGAAGTATTTGAAGCCTGTCCCTTCGTATCTCTTCAAATCCTTCTGAGCTAGAAAATTGATGCAAGTATTTTCATTTAATCTAAGCAATGAGCTTCCATCACAGTTCATCGTTGATACAAGTACAGATCATCTGGCATATTATAACGTCTTTTACGAAGTAATTTGTTCGTAAAAATTAAAGTCCCTTTCAAGTAAAGTCAAATTTAATTGAAATGTGGTTAGGATTTAATCACTTGCAATTTTAAATTGAGATGAAAAGACGCTTACTACTTAATTTCTCCGGGAGCATAATAATTTGGCTTGATGTAACGTGGAAGGTGCCCGTTGTCATTAACGACTCGCATGCAATACAAAATGCATGAAAGCACTTTGATAAGTAAATTGAAAAGCCGAATTCGGAAACCTGAAGAGCACAAAAAAGTTTGGGATGAAAGGAAAAATTAAAGCACAAACCTAAACCAAATGCACAAATGACTGCATCCTATATGAATCCAGCATTTGAATCCACTGAGCCTCGGTCGGCTCACACATATTCCGCATCGTCCATCCCGCAAAATACACGTACTGTTCCGTCTCTCATCAGCTCTACTGCGTATTTCACGTCCTATCGCATCGTTGCTC